CAACTTGTCATGAAATGGAATGACATTCTATTGCAGAAGCTTGGCCAGTCTCACACTTTCTCATGACTTGAGCAAGTATCCAACCACTCAGGCTAGAAATCTATAGTTATATTTTTATACTTAAGCTACTCTTTATGCCGCTGTATCACGTCTGATTTTCAGTCGTGTACACTAAACGTGGCAATTTGTGTTACACTGATTCACGGGTCCGACAGAGAGAGTAAATGACAGATGCGGCAGCCTGAATAACGTTCTCCGTACTCCAGGAGATCACAGGACCCGGAATGTGAAGCTCGGCTCAACTCCACGTTAAGAGGCACTCTGTCACCTTGAAAGATGCTGAGAGCAGAAGGCGAAGCACAGTGACGGGGACCCAAAGCGTGGTCCAGTCCCAGGGGTTCCTCCCCAGCGCATCCTTCCAACGGGTCCCTCCTCACCCCTGTCCCACCTGGCCGAACACCGACTTCCTGTGGATGGCATCTCAGAAATCTCCCCGTGTCACCCCTGATTTTCCACTAGCACTGCCAACACAGCCGCGTCCCCTCTCTCCCAGATCCCGTCTTACTCACTATGGCCCGGTGAATTTTCCTAAAACAACATATTTTACAGGGAAAAAAAAAAAAGGTTATACTCTTGAGACTTGATTCAAGATCCCTCATGGGTTTGCTCCAACACAGCCTCTCGATGTGTATATTAATCTCATTTACCATGAATCAATCTTCTCTTCCAGATACACTTCAGATTCACTTTTCCTCATCCAATGTCGAGACCTTCAAATCGCTATGTCTTTTCTGCTTGTTGCCCTCTCTTCCCATATAGTCCAATCTTCCCCATCCAAATGCTCTTCACTCTTCAGTGATCACTGCAAATGCTACTTCCTCTGCCCATCCTCCCCTAATAATGGCAGCCCAAAATCATCTCTTCCTATACATCTATCTTTCATAATCCACCACTGTAATCTTCTTGAGGGCAGGTTGGGGGCTTGATTTCTATTTACCTGATCCAAAGCAGGTAGGTAAAACAAAGATTACGTCTTTGCAAGCCAGAGAAAACCAGTAAAAGAAGCCAATGCAAACTGCTAAGTGGAAGAAGTCAATGTATGCTTCCAACTATATGACATTCTGAAAAATGCAGAAGTATGGTGATGGTAAAAAGATGAGTGATTGCCAGGAGCTGGAGAGAGGAAGGAAAGAGTAGGAAGAGCACAGAGGAGTTTTAAGATGATGAAACTATTCTGTAGGACAGTATAATGGTGGAGACATGCCATTATACATTTGTGGAAGTCCACAGAATGTACAACACCAGGAGTGAACTCTGATGTAAACTGTAAGTTTTAGGTGATAATGATGTGTCAACACAGGTTCATCAACTGTAACAAATGTGCCACTCTGGTTCAACTCTTTTGCCTGTGGGTCAACAACCAGAATGCTGACAGTCAGGTGTGAGCCCCCACATCCTTTTCTCCAGAAAAATGGGTAACATGGCCTACAGACGTTCCTTCTACAACATGGCCAGATCCTTACATGATCACATTACTGTGATATCCACCAGATCACAATCCCTGCCCATGTGCACAGAGCTTCTAATCCAATTTTTAGACTCATTCTTAAATATGAACAAAGAGCCAAAGATAACTAAACATTTGAGAAGAACTCCCATCTTAAAGAGAGAGACCAAACAAATAGAAGAACCCAGAATAGAGACATAGAAAGAACAGAAGAAAAAAAAAGCAATACAGAAAACAATGGAAAAAGAGTCTGCATTTATAAAATAAATAGCAGAAGCTGTACTTGAGCAACTAAGAAAAATCATAGAAGAAGCACAGCTTTTTTAGAAGTAAAAAACGTAAGAGCACGAAATAAAAGTTTAATAGAAAGACCAAAAGAGGGGCGCCTGGGTGGCTCAGTTGTTAAGTGTCTGCCTTCAGCTCAGGTCATGATCCCATGGTCCTGGGATCAAGCCCCGCATCGGGCTCCCTGCTCAGCGGGAAGTCTGCTTCTCCCTCTCCCACTCCCCCTGCTTGTGTTCCCTCTCTCGCTGTCTCTCTTTCTCTGTCAAATAAATAAAAATCTTAAAAAAAAAAAAAAAAAAAAAAAAGACTAAAAGATGTAAGTTGAGGAAATCTACCAGGAAGTAGAACAAAAAGACAAAAACAGAGGAGTTATGAAAGAATAAAGGAAAAACAGAGAACTTATCAATTACATAATGTAAGAAAATTTCTAAGAAATGGAAGACACAGTTATCCTGATCAAAAGGCCCACCAAGCACCCAGCACAGAGACACACAGGTATCCAAACATTAGCCCTCACATGCCCTTCTTCTCAGGAAGTTACTGGAAGATGGACTATAGGAGGGAATAAACCAAGAAACCCCTTGAAATGAGGGATCAACTTCGAAAGTGGCTGCCCAGCATTCAGGAAGCATGGTATTGGACACGGGAGATAAGCAAAGGGACCTCCTAGGCATAAGGTCCAGGGAGCTGCAAGTGATGGCTAGAGGGGCAGGCCTAGAGATCAAGCGATCCAGAGGGGCAGAAGAAGGGAGAGGCCTCCAAGGGGAGCTGGGAAGGACCAAAGGAAGGAAGGTAGGGACTTCTCAGTGTAGCTGTGCCATCTGTCAGAATCTGGAAATAAAATCATGATAGATAAAATAAGAAAATAAATAAACAAGACTGCATTAACTCCAGGGGAGAAAAACTCCACACTGTTCAATAAAGGAAAGAGAATATAGTCTCAGCTGGAAACAACAGCTACACGGTCACAGTGATAAAAATACTGAGAATTTAGAGAAAAACTGTAACTTAAGTATACAGGGACAACAGAGGGGCAAACCATGATGGCGGAGGGTAGTAAGAGAACCAGCCTCTTTCCCATAGCAGGGAGTTCACAGATATCTTAAATGTCAAAGCAGGACGGTATGAACCTATCCATAAGGGATGGAGACAGGAGAAGTAGCTAAGAATTCAACGTGGTTGTCACCAGGGCAGAAAGTTTTAGCTGGGGCCTGGGGGGTAGGGTCTCATCAGGGGCAGAGAGAAACAACATATAGCACAAGTCAACTATTTACATTATGTGTATATCCTATTTTGATAAAGATAATCCTTGAATTAAATAAATGAAGGATGGGGTGTTCGGGGCTTGCAGACTACTCCTTTGAAAAGCTTAAATATCCTAGGAAAATCAATGGTCCACACATGGTATTTTTTTGTCCCTTCTTTTTTAAGTTTGAGAAATATGGAAAAGGCAGAAACAACGAAGACGACATTATTCCAGCAGCAGAAAGGAGACAGGGCATCTAAATGTGCAAGCTCTCCAAGGAGGCAGGAGTAAGGGGTCTGGAACATGTGTATCCAAATTAGGCTGGGACAGAGAGCTCTCCCCTGCTGGTCAGGGGTGGAGGATGGAGGGGACTGGACTGCAAGGGAAAAACCTTGTGGTTAGAGAGTCGAGGCACTGCTTGATAGTCTCTGTTTTGGGAATGAGTGAAGGGGCTAAGGAAAATCGTGAATGTTTAAGAAGGTACCAGAAAGAAATGTTAAATTCAATTTGATCAAGTAAACTGGATCTTAGAGCAGAGAGTATTTGTACTCAGTCATTCCTCCATGCTTCCATATTTCATAACTCTTCCATAACATCTTTATACTAATACTTTAAAGGACTCTCTTTTCACTAAACTATAAATCCTCGAGAATGGTCTTATGCCTTTGTCTACGCATACAGACTCACCGCGGTGCCTGATGTGAAATGCATTTTTGTTCTATAGATATATAAATGTTTATTTCCAAAAATACAAAGGCATGTCAACACACCAACACACATTTATTACATTAATATGCTTTTTATAAACCAAGACAGTCAGCATTTAATAATTTTACTATAGTTTAAAAATAATACCTAATGTCCCTCATGGATAGCCCCCCCAAAAAAAATCTTATTTAAGTTCAAATTTACATCTGAAGCTGTCTCTCTTTGACTACATATAATAACACCTAGGATCTGTTTGGGATGATGCCCATACCTTAACCCAACTGAGAACATCAGGGAAGACTACATGAATCTATGACTAACTAGCTAGTAGATTCTAAATTAAAGCTCAGGAACATTCAAAATGAGTTTTAAAACAAAAATTCCATAGTGAAAATCAACGCCTGCCCTGTCCAATAATAAACCTGAAGAGTTTATGGTTTGAAAAGTATTGATTCAGAATTAATTTTGAGTACAGGTGATCTCTGTTCATTAGTACTTCCTAATATTTCAACATACTCTAATTTTATATTCCAACATACTCTAACTTTATATTCCTTCCAAGAGAGAAATCCAACTATTCACTAAGAAAAGCATAATATAATGCTAATTTTTAAAAAATTCTTTCTTCTCCCCTACATTTAAGCCAATTTCCTTGATAATTTCCAACACCTTTTCCATAAAACATTTCAAATCCATCTCAAACACGTTCAAAGGGGAGAGGAAGAGCTAAAAATAAATACAAACAAGAGTTTTGTTGGCCATTTAAATCTTTTACTAAGGTTAGAGAATGTTTTTGATTGCTATTAAAATCCTTGCCACGTTAATATAGTAGAGAAAATTAATTTGAGAAGTCTATCTCGAATGCCAGATTATGTCAATAAATCCTAATCTTTAGTTTTACAAAGCAGTGAAACAGAGAATTTTAATTTTCTAAATGAATTAAGCTAATGAACGATTTAGGACAAAATGCAGATTAGTACACCTGCATATACTTTTCCTTAAATCTCACAAAGTTTAAGTTGATCAACTAAGATTGTTCCAGGAATCATGTAACACAACCAAACTACCACCTCCATAATTTCATCCTTTTATCCTTTCAAAAACGTTTTAGAAATGCATTTTATAGTACACTAAGCTATCCTGATAATGGTAGTATGTTAATTCTACCTTTAAAGTCATATAAGCCAAATCAATTCAATAGCTCCATAAGAACTTCTAATTTATAAAGGCATGCAAAAGCATCTTCTAATATACCTGATTTTGACTTCAGGATAACCTGAATGGTATGTCCATCATTGGTGACTTCGCAGTCTCGGCAGACCACATAATTTGGGGAGAGGCGGACATCCAGCAGTGAGGGGTCATATCTAGCTTCTCTTGAGTTTAAGTTAATGGGAGACTGGTATTCCCCATTAGCATCAGGAAACACCAAGCCCCACTCAACACCTAAGCACAAAATAAAGCAAATTTAGAACAGGTTAAAAGAAAGTTCCAACAAAATTTAACATGTAAAAGCTACTTTAGACACTGTTTATGATCCTTGACATTATTAAGGTTATGACTATTCTTTCTTTACAGATGAAGTATGATAAATGTGTATGAATTTCTGCATTCATATTTTCAATGATATAATGCTATCAAATACCACACACAAAGTATTGTACTAACAAAATATTCTATTTGTCTTTGTCCACATAGATGTAATAATACGTGATTCTAGGAAATTTAGGTCATCTTTAAGTGACTGAAAAAGAATCAATAGTTCCACAAAAATTTCCTCTGCTCATTAGTTCAATTACATGCAGTATTTGAGAAATACCTGAAACTCTGAACTTGCTTGATGAGAGCCAAAAACCATAAATCTGATGCTAGTGAATAACCACCTCTTATCAGAAATGCAAATACAGCAATTCTGAAGTGGGCATATGCATATATACGCACACCGATATAATCATACAGTATATACATATATTCTCTTAGCATATTTTATAAAATTATAAATTCCCCATTTGTTTCGACATCAGAACCAGTGGTCAATTAGGAGCACCACTGGTCTATTACGAGTCCTACATCTTCCGCGATAAATGGAGCAAACAAAACTTTTTAAAAGTCAACCCCCTTCCGACCAAGCCCACTGATTCAGCTTGAAATTTGGGGCTTCTTTGGAGTTGAACACTGTTAGTACCCTTCATGCAAAGAGTAGTGGCAAGAATGCTTTCCCCCAGCAGGGTCCGCACAGCAAGCAAGAAACGCACAGTTTCGGTAACACCGTGTACCTAAGGTGCTGAGTAACACAGCTCTTCGCGGGCACTCAGTACACACAAGAGTTCCAGGCGCAGCGTAAGGCCGGCCCTCCGGATGGCCGCAGGTGCCAACTGCTGCGCGGCAGCGCCGCCCGGCTCCCCGACGCGAACGCAGGTGGCGGGCACGCCCGCTCTGCCTGCGGCCACTTCGGCCCCAAATCGGGCCTGGGGAGCGGGAAAGCGACAGGGACGCACGTGGGAAAGAGGAGACGCGGCGGTGCCGGGAGCGCGCGAGAGCTGCAGGGACTCGCGCTCGGCGGGACGCGCACGCGGGGCCCGGGACCCCGGACTCCCCACCCGACTCGCGGCCGGTTACCTTCTTCGTAGCCCCACTCCACCCCCTCCTCCTCTTCCTCTTCATCCTCCTCCTTCTCCGGGAAGGCGACGGAATCTTCGATGAAGCTCAGGTCAGCCATGGGAAAGGCCGTGGGTCCCCTCGGCGCTCTCGCCCGAGGTGCCTGCGCGGCAGCAGGGAAGCGGGCAGGAGTGGGAGTGTGAGCGCGTGGGAGTGTGAGGCCGAGCGGGAGCGCGTGGGCGTGCGAGTGCGCGAGTGTGTGAGTGTCAGCGCGCGCGTGGGGGTGTGAGCGCGCGAGCGGGCGCGAGGCGGGCGCGAGGCGGGAGCGGGCTGGGCCGGAGTTTTCGGGCGGCCGGGGCGGGGAGCGCGCGTCTCGAGTCCCGGCGGAGCGCGAGGGGAACCGCAGCTCCAGGAGCTGCAGCGGGCGGATTATAAACACGACCGGGGCGTGTCTGGCACGGGAGGATCCGCCCCCTTCGCTCGGTGGCCCGGCGCCGGGGGCTGGACAGCAGAGAAAGGGCCTGGGGCTACTGGCCCCACAGGGGAAACTGCGGAAGCCCGGTCGCCCTACCTGCGGGGTTGGCTCCCCACTCCCGGCTCTCCCACGCTTACCTTCCAGAAGCCTGCGAATCGCCCAAGGACCCGTGTGTGCAGGCCCTAGACCCGGGGCTTTCTACCTTATTAACTTTCGGCTTTCCTACAGGAAGTACCAAAAAAAAAAAAGTGGAGGGGTGGGTCGGGAAGGAGAGAGATTAATTGCCATGGGTAAGAGAAAAGAGAGGGCTGGGAAGACCCTGTAAGAAGTTTCCCACTCTGATTTTTATTATTGGCTATTTACTTTATCCTTCGTCCTTAAAGGACGGTGGACAGGAGAATGGAAAAATTTCCAAGAAACTTGTAGTTCTTAAAACATGTAAGACAAAATTGTTTTAATGCAGAGGAGTGGATATAATTTGGAGATTTTTTTCCCTAAAAGAAATTATCTCAAAAGCAAGAGTACTGACAAGCAATAAAGAAAGGGTGTTTGGTTTTAGTTTCAGAGTCTGGGGTGCTGTTGCAAGTACAGCTTGCTGTGTACACAGCTCCCAAACGCCTCGTGAAATCGTGTAAATAATGAAATGCACACATTGCATAACAAACAGGAACTTTCCTGATCCTAAGAGGTCGCACTGTTACCTCTTAAACGGACTTCCCAATGACTTAATCCCTTAACCCCCGTGTTTCAATGCGTTTTAAAAGCCCCAGCTAATAACCCCTGATCGGGTTAACTCCATATTTTTAGAAGCTCAGATTTGGACCTTAAGCAGAATTTGTTTTGGGGGGTGTTTTTTTTTTAACTTTTTTTTTATTTTATGTTAATCACCATACATTACATCATTAGTTTTTGATGTAGTGTTCCTTGATTCATCGTTTGCGTGTAACACCCAGTGCTCCATTCAGTACGTGCCCTCTTTAATACCCATCACCAGGCCAACCCATCCCCCACCCCACTCCCCTCTGGAACCCTCAGTTTATTTCTCAGTGCATAGTCTCTCATGGTTCGTCTCCCCCTCCGATTTCCCCTTCATTTTTCCCTTCCTGCTATCTTCTTTTTTTTTTTTTCTTAACATATAATGTATTCTTTGTTTCAGAGGTACAGGTCTGTGATTCAACAAAGCAGAGTTTGTTTTTATATGCTCTGTGCACGCACCAAAACGTCTGTTAGCAGTTTGAATAGCCGGTTCTTAAATCATCCCATCTTGGGCGCCTGGGTGGCTCAGTCGTTAACCGTCTGCCTTCGGCTCAGGTCATATCCCAGGGTCCTGGGATCGAGACCCACATCGGGCTCCCTGCTCAGCGGGAAGCCTGCTTCTCCCTCTCCCACTCTGCCTGCTTGTGTTCCCTCTCTCGCTGTCTCTCTCTGTCAAATAAATAAAAATAAATAAATCTTTAAAAAAAAAATCATCCCATCTTTATGAATGCTTAATTCCTCATAGGATGGAGATGCTCCTCCTGGGGATTTTTAGGTTCTGTAGGATGGAGATGCTCCTCCTGGGGATTTTTAGGTTCTGTGCTCCTAGCATTCAGTGCCTGCTCAGCCCTCCACTTTTTTTTTTTTTTAAGATTTTATTTATTTATTTGACAGAGAGAGAGAGCAGGAACACAAGCAGGGGGAGTGGGAAAGGGAGAAGCAGGCTTCCCGAGGAGCAGGGAGCCCGACGCGGGGCCCGATCCCACGACGCTGGGATCATGACCTGAGCCGAAGGCAGGCGCTTAAGGACTGAGCCACCCAGGCGCCCCAGCCCTTCACTTTTTAAAAAAGCCACTTAACAGGTTATTAGAAATTACTCCAGAAGGTGGATTGGGATTGGCGGGGGACCCTCAAATCAATCAATTCTGACACTTCCTGGAACAATTAGCTAAAGAGGTGAAATTATTGGTCAGCTTTAGCTTTGAGGATTCCAAGCACTCGTAAAAAAAAAAAAAAAAAAGAATTGGCCTATATCCCCCTTAACATAAAGACTAAAAAAGTCTACCATTATGAGGACTTGAGCCACAGTCTAAGAGACATGAAATTCATTCTTCACTCACTGCCTTTAGGGTGTTCTTTAGTGGATAGCCTCTCTCCTCTGCTCTTCTAATAAGCCTGAGACTGACAGAAGTATAAGTCTACCCTATAGTTTTTAAAAATAATAAGCACTACCCGAAGGATTAACCATTTTCACTCAAGTTCTTCTAAAAGGAATGTTTCATTTATCTTTCCATTGTTGAAAACTTTTTCACAATCTTGAAATTTTCATTGAAGTTCCTTTCTAGAAGTATATTCACACATTAATCAAATGCTGCAGCTAATGCAACCTGTAGAAAATAATAAAATCATTTTGCCACCCTGAGCTCATCAGTAATGTCCATACCCCTTGGCCCAAGCGTGCATAGATGCCAAACTGTAACTGTTGTGTGACCACCAGTTTCATTTAAAGTATCACATGAATTATAGAGATGTTTACCAAACCAGAGGACAACAAAATCACCATGGAAAAAACTCAATGTTCCATGAGTAAATGGTGTGCCATATTTACTGCAGACAGCCTGAAAGATTGAATTACCAATATTGAATTTTGTAGCTAATAGACCATCTTGTATATAGTCAACAATATATCACTATTCATAAATGCAGTTAACCACTAGACAAACATATGTTTACCCATACTTGTTCTTTCTAAATTATTCAACATCATGTGTATAATGTAGCTCCCCACTGCAAGCCTAGGATACCCTACCCAGCAACATATGAACCATTCTACTGTGCATCCAAGTATTCAATTAACAGCCTTAATTGCTTTGAGACTGTGTGCTTTAGATTTCTGCTAATTAACAGCACCTTAAGACCTTCTCTTCTCAGGTCCCTGTACTATATTATCGCTAAAGATGGAATTTCTATTTCTAGTTATTATAAGGTATCTGTCACCATAAAACCTAAACACACAGATGGAAGATATAGGCCAATTCTTTGATTTATAAACTAGAACAAGCACACCTAAATCTAATATCAGAGAATCTAAAAATATTCATGCTCTCTATTATGAACATAAGTACTCCACATATCCCCATATGTAATTTTAAAAATATTTCAACCTAATATCATATTTGATTCCTTAAATTAACTTTCTATTGCTCGTTTTTAGTGTTTGCATAACTGAGGTCAAACCACATCAGTAGAACAATTTGTTAAAACTAAGACCTGTATAACAAATTACTATTTGATACCAAGAAAATAGAAATACCTAAAAAGGGACAAATTGATCTAGATGCCACAGGGACAAAGAGACACTAAGATTGCTTCACAGCACTCCTGACTTACACACCCCTCTCCTCTCAATCTTTTCCTATCCTTTGCCTACCTTATCAAAGCTTTCTTCTTGTGTTGGTGAGTTTCAGCCCTACAGTCATCACGAACAATCATTACTTAATTCTTATGTGCATCTTATGCTCTGGGAGCACCTCGAGGACAGAGCTAACATATATATGTCAAAATGGCTTCTAACTAGATTGTAAATTTCTGAATTTCAACAATGAATTGTGTTCCTTCATGTGCACTGCTCTGCATTGTGCACTGTGGGAGAGACCCCAAAATGAATTAACACTCCTTCTGCCAGTAAGGAATTCATAGTTCTCTTGGGATTGGGGGGGGGGGCAGGGGGAGTCAATAATTACCTATAATAAAGGCAATATATTTAATAGAGATGCAAGCACCATTACATCTGAGGAAGATGCAATTCATACAGATGGGAATGATCGAGCCAAGTTTCTTAGAGAAGATGGCTTTTAAGGCAAATGCAAAAGGATGAGTAGGATTTAGAGGACAGTGAGTGAGCAAACAGCATTTCAAGCACAAGTAATGATGCCAAATCATGGAAGTCCTGATTGTGGATCCGTTTCTCCATGAAGTACCGCCGTGACCTGCCAAAACCCATCTAGATTACTCAAAAAAAGTGTGCTTCAGTGGGATTATGTCTGAAGAAAGAGATTTCTTTGGTTTAGTTTGTTAGTCTGTTTTTTGTTTGGTCAGTAAAGACATTTTTAACCTTAAAAACAAAGCAGTCACCTATTTTACCAGTAAAAATAGATTTACTTAGGAATATCAGAGAATTGCAATGGCAAAACCATAGGCAAGTCCAACAAATAAAGGAAAGGGATATTACTTTATGGAGAAGAAGGAGAGGTCGGAAGGGGTTGTTTTGAATGAAAGCCCATAGGAGAAAAGCACGAGTTAAAGGTGATAATGGTTTCTTACTGGCTGAGTTGCAGGGATGGTTCATTTCTTGTAAGAGATATAATAGACATCATTCCCTATTGGGGCCTGTAACTGATGATTTTTTCCTGTTGACAATTCTTCTATTCAAGTCTGTAATTGACGAGTCTTCCTATACTAGACATTTGAGAAATAAAGCTCCCCCTTTCTGTGCTCCCCCTCTGGCCTCCCAACTCCATTTTAGTGAGGCTTCCCTTTATTAAATTTCACATCAAAATTTTCCTCCTTATGTGTATTTTGATTTCTGAAGCTTTCAAGCTTTGCTTATAAGGCAAGAAGTTCTGATTCTTTCATATTTTTTCTGATCAGATTAATCTATTTTGCTTGCTTACAGCTTTGTTTATGAACCTACTTTGGTTTGGTCTCTTCTCGATCTTTGTCTTCCAAACATCAGTTTTTAGTCTTCAGGCTTGGTGTAGCTGTGGCAGGTTGTCTTATTGTTTCTGTCATTCGCTGCCCCTCTCCATGAGATTATACTTCACTGACTGACCATAGAACCTGCTTTGACCAATTGAATATGGGTAGATATGCACATGCCACTTCCAATAGAAGCCTTAAGGAGTTGTCATGTGGTTACACCTCCTATTTGTCCATCTGTCCCCAAAT